TATAAACATTTTTGTGTAACAATATGAAAGTAAATGCCGAATTTAGAGATTTAACATGCCATAACAGCATGTTATAATAAAGCACGAAAGGCTTTACCCCTTCGAATTATTAAACATGATTTATGTGGTGTCGACAGTTAACAAAATATATACGTATGAAAATGTCTAAAAATCTGAAAATAAACTGAGCAGATTTTGGAGACATAACACTGAGGCCCCTTTCACACGGGAGGTCCAATCAGGTCCCCCTGTCAGATTTTTAGGCAGACCTGATTGTATGCTCAGTGTGAAGGTGGCCATACACTGTACAACCATCGCAAGACCTTAGTCTTGCGATGGTTGTAAAGGGATTAAAAAAACGTACGATCTGCCTATCTTGGACAGGCAGATCGCACTCTCGATCATCGCAAGCCCGCCCCCCTGAAGGGCGGGCTTCCGATGACCGCAATGCTGAACGGGCAGTGTGCGCGTGCGCACACCGGCCCGTTCAGCATTTGTCTTCCGAGCACCGTTCAAACCAGCCGAGAATCGTACGATTCCCGGCTGGTTTTCGAACATGCTGGTTCGACAGAAGACGTGCAACCGTACAGTAGAAACGGTCGCACGTCTCCGTACACACGTCTCCGTCTCCTTTAAGGTGCCCATACACATGCCGATTATCGTACGATAATTAAAGGGTTGATGGGCAGCGTGCGACCGCATTTACTGCACGGTCATACGATTTTCAGCGGGTTATTAGCGCGATCGCAAGACGAAAGCTGCATGGCCCGAGGTACACAAGCGCACACTGCCAGCTCACGATTGCAATCATCTGCAAGCCCTCCCCTCAGCGGGGAGGACTTGCGATGATCGCAAGTGCGATCTGCCTGTCCATGATGGGCAGGTCGTAAGAACTTTGAATCACCTTACAATCATCGCACAACGAAAGTCGTGCGATGGTTGCAAGGTGTATTGCCACCTTTAAGGTGCCCATATACTGTTTGAATTTCAGCCGGTTTTTGAGGAACCGGCTGAATTTTGCACAGTGTGTCCCTTTCGATCAGCATCCCTCGATCAGCTGTTCGAAGGAGCCGGTCGGAAAATCTTTGATCCATCAGAGCCTGCAACCAATAAGCTGCCCTCTCTGGTCGGATATTCTGACAGGTGTCAGCAGCTGCTGTATGTAAACAGCATGGATTCCTTGATCGTCACCCTGTTAGTGTTGATGGAGGAATCAGGTCTATTTTTTCCATTCAGACTGCTGGTTGAACGGAAAAAAAATAGATCAGTGTATTGCCAGCCAAACTCTATGGACAGTCAGATCTAAGAAACTTACATCCGGTTACCACGACTCCATCAAGCTAAAAGGTGGACCTGATCACGACAGATCTGGAATAATCCGATGTAAACAGACTCATGTCTGCTTACATCCGACTGCCCATAGACCAATATGAGCCTGTACAGCTCATTTTTTTCATCCGTCACAAGATAAAGGAAAAAACTGAACAGCCCAGCCCTCTATAATTTTGGCTCCTAGCTGCCTCCATGCCATTCATTTTTCTGTCCTTGTCAGTTTTTGCCCTAGCTGATTTCCTGCAGCTTTCCAGGCAGGGTCATGTCTCCCTTGCTCTGAAGTCCCTGTATAAGATGCCTTTAAAAAAGGTATAGACCAGGGAGACCCGTTTTTTAGTGTCTTGGGTCTGATGTCCGGATAATAATGTATCTTTTTTGCAGCGGCTCTGCCTTCTTTATCTGCATCTTTCCTAATACACTCTTGCATCTTACTTTATTTCCTCTCTTTTCCACTTTCTATTGCCTGGGGTCAGGTAGAGGATTGGCATTGATTCCTGGCTGCTCCCTGGCAAAATGGCATCCAGCGGCCATTCTGCGCATGCGCGGCTCATCTGACTTAGATCTGAAGAGGGTTTATTCAGCGGCAAGAGGGTCTTGTTGCACTGCAATTGCCCTAATATCTGTTTCTAGGGCCATCTCTATATGGACTCAGAATAATTTAAAAGCTCTTAAGTCTAATGTTGAAAGAGATCAAATCATCCAAGCCCTTTAACCCCTTCATGACTGAGGCCTTTTTTTCATTTTTTGCACCCATGTTATAGTCCACATTTTAGGCCTGAAAATGACTTAAAACTCCCAAACATTATATATTTTCTGAATGCAAAGACCCTATAGAATAAAATGGTGGTAGTTGCAAATTTTTATGTTGCGCAATATTAGCGCAACTCCTTATTAAACCCCAACATTTAGTGAAAATTCTAATTCTAAGTGTTTTGGGGCATTTAATTCTAATTAAATGCCCCAAAACACAAATTTTCTTAATGAAATATAAAAGATGAGGTTACAACGAGTAAAACGATACCCAACATGCCCAGGTTACAAATTGCGTGAGTCCGTGAAACGGCGGAAAACTGCAGTACCCCAAAAAGTCAATAGAAGACGCTTTAAAAGCCCCCACAGGTCATCAATTTAGAGATACCCCAAAATACTGGCCCTAGGATTATTGCTCTCACTCTGGCGTGCGCGGCGATACCCAACATGTGTAGCGCGTTCGTAGTTTTCATACGTACGCGCACCCGACGCATGTTTACGTGATGACGCGTGTGCTAATGGGGGCGGTGGACTTTACATTTTTTTTATCATTATTAGATTTATTTTATTTCATTTTAATTTAACCACTTCAAGACCAGGTGTTTAGACCCCGTTCCTGGCCAGTCCATTTTTCAGTATTCAGCTACCCCAAAATACTGGCCCTAGAATTATTGCTCTCACTCCGGCGTGTGTAGCGCGTTCGTCGTTTTCATACGTAGGCGCACCCGACACGTGTTTACGTGGCGATGCGCG